TGTATGTATGTATATTATACATATATATTTAAATATATACACACACATATGGAAGAGGAATTTCAGAAACTGAGTAGATAGATCAGAATTTATATCTTTAAGAGACATCCATATTCAAAAAATACAGAAAGGAAAAAAAGAGAAAAAAGACTTGGGAGCAGAAAATGGTAGGGAAATGGAAGGAAAGTGCTGCCCTCAATTTCTTACTGTTCCTCATCCCTTTGCCTCAAGCCTTTCCTACAGTGTTCAACCGCAGCTTTATCCAGCATGAAGTCGTGGGACAGTATAGCCACCTGTTCTCTGTCTATGGCTCAGATCCCAGTTTGCAGCCCTACATGCTGATGGCTCACATGGACGTGGTTCCTGCCTCTGAAGAAGAATGGGAGGTGCCCCCGTTCTCAGGCCTGGAGCGTGATGGCTTCATCCATGGCCGGGGCACACTGGACAACAAAAACTCCCTGATGGTCTGAAATTCTATGCTTACTATCTGACTTAGGGCCCAAAAGGTGAATTCAGGATGGGAGAATGTGACTGGCTTTCATGGAGAAAGGAGGATATATTGAAAGAATTGTGTGCAGGAAGCCTGAATGGTAGCTATCAGTTTTTCACTTCATTTTTCTGGACTTTGATTTCTCAACCATATAGGAATTGGGGTTAGACAGCCCACTGCGTCCTTTTCATCTGACATTCATAAATGCATGCTTTTCAGGTAGTACAGAGCTCTGTACCACTTGAATTTGTTCTTTAAAGCCAGTCTATCAGATTCCACCATTCCCAAAAAACACCTCAGACAGTAAGTTTTTCTCCTCTTCTAAATCCTAGGCAATCCTGCAGGCCTTGGAGCTCCTGTTGACCAGAAACTATAGGCCCAGAAGATCTTTCTTCATTGCTTTGGGCCATGATGAGGAGGTAAGCCACCTTATCCAGTACCAGTCTCAGGGCCTCCTTTGAAAGTAGGGTGCTTTCTGTGAGCCAGTATGACCATCAGCTTGCAGGGCTCTGTGATACCCTGTAGCTGTTTGCTACTTTGTGTGTCTGTGTAATAGAACCAAGCTTCCTGGTAATAGCGAAGGCAAACAGATAGGCTGGCAATTCTATCCCCAGGAAACATAAGCACAACGAAAGGGAACTGAGTGTTTTCTTTGCAGTGATGCCACTGGCTTTAATCCTGGATGGTCGCTTCACTCTCCAGATCCCAGTTTCTTCATTTCTGAAATTCAGAGGGACTCTGACATGTGGCCTGAGAATTATCTCAGGCAATACCCCAGAATAAGAGTAGGAAAGAAGGTTCTGGAGTGACAAGTGAGTGAGTCTACATTTGCTGTCTCTGTATGTCTGTCTCTGGCTGAGAAGGACCATGGCTTTGGGTTTTCTGTCTACAGGTGTATGGGCTAAAGGGAGCTCGACAGATTGCATCACTCCTACAGGCAAGGGGTGTTAAGCTGGCCTTCCTTGTGGATGAAGGGAGTTTTATTTTGGAAGGTTTTATTCCGAAACTAAAGAAGCCTGTTGCCATGTAAGTGAATTGTGTACCCCCTTTTCCACCCTTTGAAGAGTTGTCACTCTATTTGAGAAGAGTCCAGCCTACCATCTATAAGCCACTGACATCGCTCACCCTCATTTTCATCATGTCCTGGGCTTTCCATTACACCCTTCTTCTAGTGTTGGGTTGGTTTGTTTGCTTTTTATTCAAAACAGCATGAAGCTGACCTCCCAGACCTCCAGACCATCGTGTAGACAGGCCTGTGGTCTATGGAATAGCTTAGTGAAGGAGGCGGGGGAACAGTCTGAAGACTTACCTTTCTCCTCTTCCACAGGATTTCAGTCACAGTGAAGGGTATCCTTGACCTCATGCTGCAAGTAAACATGACTCCGGGCCACTCTTCAGCACCCCCAAAGGAGACAAGCATTGGCATCCTTTCTGCTGCTGTCAGCCGGTAAGCATCTCCTGGCTGCACTCCCAGGACTGTCTTGGATGGAACACCAGGCACTTTACTCTGAGACCGTGCCTGTGCATCCTGCCCTGAAGCTGGCCCAGGGAGCAGAGGTGCAGGCCACAGAAGGGACAAAGCCACCAACAACCCAGAACAGGACTGGGATCAAAAGATCTATCAGTACAACTAGAGAGCATTCAGGAGCCAGGAGACAAAAACGAAGTCAAAGAGCTGGGTAGTTCAGTTCCCACCCAAGCAGTTGGCAGTGGCTGGTAAAGCTGTCTAAAGTCTCCTGCTGCTCTGACAGGAGGACAAAGATAAATAAGGGGCACTGGCTGTGGGTGAAGAACAAGGCTTGCAAGAGCAACACTTACCTGCATCTAGGTTCTATTAACAAAATAAAAAGAAAGTGTGCTGGCTAGTTTTGTCAACTTAACACAAGCTAGAGTCATTGGAGAGGAAGGAGCCCTGTTGAGAAAATGCCTCCATAAGAACTAGCTGTACAAAAGCCTGTAGGACATTTTCTTAATTAGTGGTTGATGTGAGAGGGCGTACCCCGTTATGGATGGTCTCATTCCTGGGCTGGTGGTCCTAAGCAAGCCAGTAAACAGCACCCTCCATGGCCTCTGCATCAGCTCCTGCCTCCAGGTTCCTGCCATATTTGAGTTCCTGTCCTGACTTCCTTCAGTGATGGACAGTGATGTGGAAGTGTAAGTCAAATTAACCCTTTCCTTCCCAAGTTGCTTTTGGTCAGGGTGTTTATTCACAGCAATAGTAAGCCTAGCTAGGACAGAGAGCTCTATTCATCAGATATTGAATGAATAGTGACCATTTATCAAGGCTTTGTGTAGGAGAATAGAGTTAAAAAAAAAAAAAAGTTGGCCCCTGCCTTAAGGAAGTCCCAGTTAGTGCAATAGACTGGCAGTCCTGCCACGATTTGATAAGTACAATGAGAGTGTCTGCAGGTGGCAGAGGAGCAGAG